CCGCACCAACACCACACCACTCACACTACACTCACACCCCACACTCACAACCACACTCACACTCACACTTCACACTCGCCACTCACACTCACCACTCGCACTTCAGACTGTCTGAGAGAAGTGTTCTTCCCTTTTCCTGATTATCTTTCATGTTTACATTCACAATTAATATTAAAACTAACTTCATTAGAATGTAATATTAAAACTAAAACTAAATTAAAAATTAGGCAGCAGAAACTTGACCACATATATTGGAAATGGCTCATCGGTGGTGGGATGCAAGAGTTTGCATAGCAAAGCTAACACCTTTCGGCCCCAATCTACGCGCTTACAACTGGGCAGGGATTATGCCCGGGAAGAAAGATGTGACACTAGCAAAAATCCGCTCTAAATTTCACTTTGCCGCAGTATTCCGGCTAGGCCATCTCATTTTTCCTTTCGCTTAATGTTAATGGTTTATGTGAGGGAAAGAAGATTCATGGGACCTAATATTGACCGTCCATCTACACTTTCGATCTTGATTTTCATAATGGTTGGCAGATCATAATATCATCCATTACATTATTCACTACATATTTAATAATACTACTAATCTATTATTATTAATTATATTCTTGTTATCATGTAGGGGGCTTTGCTTCGCTACCTCGGGTCTTTGCACCTCCATATATTTGACGTTACTCCTTTGCATCAACCATTCGTGTTATTTGCTTCTATCTTGGACACAGACGAACAAATTACTCTTGCCTTGTTATCATGTTGTTTTCTTGCACATCAGAAACCAGTTGCTAATCAAGGGGATTACTGAGTTACGTATATATAGACAAATGGTTGATATAGAACTTAGCGATGTCTAGATAATGATACACATTTCATTTTGCTGGGTCAATATTATCATGAAGCTGAATTAAATAAACGAAGACTGCGTATGTGGTTGCTCAACATTAAAGCAGTCGTGATAAAGTAGAATTTACTCTTACTAAAGCGGACTAACTTTGACTGTAGCTATTGATTGTATCCGGTTGAATTCTAGTAGGGACGCACGTGGCACTTCGCACAAAGCACCGCCGGGTGACTCCTCGAATTGTCCTTAGATCGGTATGCTGTTTTCAGGAAAATAAAATATTAAGGAACACACTTTATATTCGCAGAGAAAACAGGCGCGAGAGGAGGGATGGAGAGTGGGAAGTTGAATAAAGGGATAGATGGCGCCAAATGGAAACATATAGTTGCAGGAGAAGATAAATATAGAAGAAAAAATGAAGAGGGAGAGAAAACGTAAAAGTTCGGGCGGGAACGGGTTCGGTAGTAATTAGAGAAAAAGAAACCAAGGGAGCGAACGACGAAAGAGAGAGAGAGGGCCGGAAGAGCGAGAGAGAGCGAATATATTATTATATATATATTATTATAAGAGATGGAGAGGACGAGAGAGATGAGAGAGAGAGAGAGAGAGAGAGAGAGGAGAGAGAGGAAGGAAGAGAAGAGATTACCAAATGGTTTAGTTTATGAAACTCGCTGTGTCGAGAGGTGCTCAGTATACATATTATCTTATCTATCTATATATATATATATATAATACGCGGAGGCGAAGAATTAAGAGATAGAGAGCGAGAGCGAGAAAGAGATACAAAGAGAGAAAGAGTGAAAGATAACGAGATAGAAAGGGAGAGAGAAAAATATATCGATCGAGCGAACGCGCAAGCGAGGGAGAGAGACAGAGAGAAAGAACGAGAAAAATAGACCGAGGGAAAGAAAGCCGGGGAGAGAACGATAGTGGGACGCGAGAAAACCCGGTAATTGACACTATTGACCACGCATGTAAGACGTAACGGAGTCAGCATGTGATCTTAACTTATACACACAAGACAACAAAGAATTATCGCCTACATATGAATTATCGCCAGTCAAACACACACACAGCGCGGACCCGCGAACCAAACAGCTTACCCGAACGCGATTTTATCAGCAAAAGCAAAGACGAGAGAATCGGCAAGGTGCACGCAAGTGCCGCGCTACGGTCGTGCAATAGAAACAGTCGAAGACAAGCGAGCGACGAAACATGGCAGACGAGCGTATTCGTAACGGCCACGCGGCGAGCGATATCCCGTTTACAATAAACGCCGAGATGAAGAAGAAGGAGGAGAAAAAGTCCGACACGATGTGCGGGTTAAGCTGCTACCCGGACTGCCTTCAACCGTGCGCTGACATCAAAGTCTTTCTCGTGTTCTTTAGCCTGCTGTTTCTGTTCACGGGCGCGTTTTATGCCTACTTCGTCAGCGTAATGACAACGCTGGAAAAGCGATTCCATTTTCCGAGCAGAGACACTGGAATTCTGATGATGTTTAACGACTTTACACATCTCGCTATAGTCGTAGTCGGAAGCTACTTCGGCGGCAAGGCAAACCGCCCACGAATGCTAGCACTAAGCGGAATCGTCTTCGCTTTGGGTTGCTTCGTGCTGTCCATACCGCATTACGTATTCGGTAGCGGCCATATTGAAATCGAATCGGGGAATGGAACTCAGACTTCGACGTGGAGGGACACCTGTACAGACGCGATTATTCCAAACACCTGCGATACGAGCGTTGATTCTAACAACGTTGCCTACGCTATACTCTGCATCGGAGAGTTGTTGGTGGGGCTGGGTGGATCAACGATGTTTTCGCTGGGTACGAGCTACGTGGATGACAACGTCAAGCCTGAGGATGCCTCGTTCTATCTAAGTAAGTAGGTGAATGAAGATGACGTTACCCGCTTAAATGTAGATCTGTTGTAGCGATGAATAATGAAACTCCAAACCCCAAGCAGTTGTGTTCAGCAAATAGTATATTGTTTCTCAAACCACATACGCTCGCACAGAGGCACGCAGACGCCGACGTCGGCCATAAAGAGGCCATAATGAGGCCGACGTCGTTACAATAGATTACCACTAAAACAACCCCGAGTCTAGCCGCACTCCGCGTTTCTAACTAATTTATGTAACATCTGTAAATCATATGTTACACTCACACCCACCCGCACACCCACACTCACACCCACACGCACACTCACACCGACACCCAAACTCGCACTCACACCCACCACACTCGCGCTCACACTCACACTCACACTCACACTCACACTCACACTCACACTCACACCCACACTCGCTCTTACGTCCACACTCGCACTCAGAGTGTGAGAGAAGTGTTCTTCCTTCCTGATTATCTTCATGTTACATCTAAATAATATTAGAATAACTAAAATAAGATTAAAATGAACTAAAATTAAAAAATAGAATAGAATTGCCCATATATGGAATGGCACTCGTGTAGATGGCAGCGTTGCCAGCAAAGCTAACACCTTTCGGCCAAATCTACGCGCTTAAACTGGGCAGGGATATGCCCGGAAGAGATGTGCATAGCAAAATCCGCTCTAAACATTTCACTTTGGCCGCAGTATTCCGCTACCATCATTTTTCTTTGCTTATGTACTGGTTTATGTTAGGGAAAGATTATGGACCTACAGGACGTCATTACACTCGATCTGATTTCATAATGGTAGGCAGATAATCCATCCATTATTATTCTATATTTAATTAATACTATAATTATTATTATCCTTTATTCTTGTTATATGATCGGGGCCTTGCTTGTACCCGGTCTTTGCACTCCATATATTTGACGTTACTCCTTGATTACCTCGTGTTATTTGCTTTCTCTATGGACACAGACGCAACATTATTTGCCTTGTATATGTTGTTCTTGCCAATCAGAACCGGTGTGCTATTATAGTATTCGATCACTGAGTTAGTTAGATAGAGATGGTGATATAGAACTAGGATGTTAGATATATAGATACACATTCATGCGGTCAATATTATCATGAGCTGATTAAATACGAAGAACTGCGTATGTGGTTGCTCACATAAGCAGGTGATAAGTAGAATTTAAACTCTTACTAAGGACTAAACTTATGAACTGTAGCTATGATTGTATCGGTGAATTTAGTAGGACGCGTGCACTTCGCACAAAGCACCGCGGTGACCCCTGATGTCTTGATCGGTATGCTGTTTAGAAACTAAAATATTAAGGAAACATTTATAATCGCAGAGAAAACAGGCGCGAGAGAGGGATGAGAGTGGGAAGTGATGAAGGGATAGATGGCAGCCAATGAAACAGATAGTGGCAGGAGAAATAGAATTAGAGAAAAAATGAGAGGGAGAAAACGTAAGTGAGCGAGGTAGAAATAGAGAAAGAAACCAAGGGAGCGGAAGCGAAAGAGAGAGAGAGAGGGCCGAGAGCGAGAGAGAGCGATATATATATATATATATATATATATATATNTGTGTGTGTGTGTATGTGTGTGTGTGCGTGTGTAATTATATCCAGAGCCTTTCCATCTCCCTTGTAGCAGCACTCTTCCTCTTCACCATCGCCCTCCTCTCTTGCTGTGTAACCTCTCTCGTTGTCTCCGATTTCATGGTGATACATTACAGATGGGTCGCTTACGTATTTCAGTAATTGTCTAATTCATATACGGTAAAACTCTCTGAATAATGTGAAATAGAATTTCCAAGGTTGATTTAGTTACATTTTAGATATAGTTATACGGTATAATTACACCGAAACCAATCCATCAATTCTGCAATGACAGTTTTTTTTCCGTAACGATTTACATCGATGAATTTTCCTGAAAATAAATACATTTTCCTACATTTCTGCGTTAAATACATAAAATAAAATAAAAATAAAAAAACACATTTGTGTTTTGCGTTCCTGCACTGCAGGTATCAGCTATGCTGTGAGAATGTTTGGACCGGCTATTGGATTCGCAGTCGGAAGTTATAGCACCCGGATCCATGTTTCCTTCTCCGGTATGTATAACTGCTGTCGTACACATGTAGCTTTATTTAATGCGAGCTAATGTATATACAAATACAGTTCTTACTAATAATGTAAATACAGCAGTAAATCTGTGTGTGTGTGTGTGTGTGTGTGCGTGTGTGTGTGAGCGTGCGTGCGCGCGCGTGCGTGCGTGCGTGCGTACGTGCGTGCGTGTCTGTGTGTGTGCGTGCGTGCGTGCGTGCGTGCNTATATATATATATATATATATATATATATATATATATAGCCTCGTTCTATCTAAGTAATCACGCTTATTATTATTATTCGAGAAGCTATAGTTTTGTTTAGGCTTTATGTCTTCCCTTGAGTGTACCCATGACCTTAGTACTTCTTGTCTTTAATTTTATATCCTCCGTTCTTGGCTCTCTCCATTTCGATAAAGCCAGACGTTAGCTGACGCTGGTGTCCTTTTGCTTTCTTTTAATCCTGGCCTCTTTCATCCACTATTAACCTAGCTTATACTTGTTTTCT